AAGTGTTAAAACAGCAAATTGACGTTTTATGGAGGCTTTTGTGCCAGACTATTTCTAGGCTGGGGGCCAGGAAACCTGCAGATATTCCAGGAGGTTTTAAATAGTCCAGCACACAAGCTATATAAAACAGTATATTGGACATTTTTACACTTTGGTTATAGTGAGTTTTAGAGGTGCTTGTAGGCGAATTTTGTTACCTTTGTACATGGCCATATTACCGTAACTGTTTCTTCCAACCACCAGTCTGTATGTTAAGTTAAGCTAACTGACTGCAGGCTGTAGCCTTATATTGTAAAGACAAATAAGCAGTATCTATTTCATCTAACTCTACGCTAAAGAGCAAAAAAGCATATTTCCCAAAATGTCAAACTTTTGCTTCAAGAAAAGAAAGCAATTGGTTTTGTTTCAATGATTAATCCCTGTTTGAAAGTATCTTACCTTACAATCTAATGTTAGTCACTAGTAAAAGTGTTACTTGTGTAATGAATCATCCCGACACTAACGTAGCACTACACAACCTTTTTGCACATTTTCTAAATAGGTACTCACTGCACGACTCATGCAGGGCTTGGAGGGCTCTGTGCTGCCTGAACAGTGCATATTGTAATTCCCTCACCCAGTGCACAAACAAACGGATGCTTATTGAAGTGCTCCGCTCAAGTACCTAATAAAAAACAGAGGACAACCATATCTAATACCACACTGATACTCAAGAGTCTTCAGCTTCAAATGTATCCTTTGGTGTAATAGAACAATACAGATGTTGCGATCATAGAACTCCTTTGAGCTGTTTTTTTATTTTTCAAGGGGGGAAAAAGTATCCTGAGTATCCTAACACACAGAGGTGGGAAGTAGTGGAGTACAAAATAATACTTTGTTACTGTACTTAAGTACATTTTTCTGGTATCAGTACTTTACTCCACTACGACTTTTTACTTTTACTTCTTACATTTTCAAAACAGGCTGGTTCCTTTAGTTTTAATCTGTGTTTGGTGGCGTGATCATTATTATTTAAAGTCATTGCGTGCCTATTGATTTTAACACGATCCATGTGTCCAACATTTCCTGGTCTTCTCTAAAGAAGAGTGACCAATGAAAACGTTGTCATGTTGCCGTTGTTCAGCTTGGAAACATCCCTTAGCTAACAATGACATTATTGTTCTATTGATATAAAGGGAGGTCAGTTCTATAAAACAGTTGGTAGTTATGGGTACTTTTTACTTAAGTACATTTCGAAGCCCATACTTCTTTATTTTTACTTGAGTAAAGAAGTTTAGTCATAATTTTTAAACACGAGTATCTCAAGGTTCTTTATTTATTCATACATACGAACATAGCTACAGTGTAGTTATGCCGATGAAAATCTTGTGTCACTTCTCCAACAGTGCAACACAAAACACAGATAAACAGAAAAAATATAGTGCAACTAAATAGTATATAGTAATAAAAAAAGAAAAATTGTTTTAAAAAAAAAGTGCAATAAGAGTATATGCAAGTTATTGAAATAGGATGTATAGGTAAATAGATAAATAATTTTTAAATTATTTTTAAGTAGTTGCCAGATGAATATTAGGGATGTTGTTTCAACAGTTCAGGTGTTTAACAGTCTTATTGCCTGTGGGATGGAACCTGAAGCTGCTGACTCTCTCCACCGTAGTCCCATTGATGGCGATGGGGGTGTGTCCCTCTCCCTGCTGCTTCCTGTACTCCAAAATCAGCTCCTTTCAGGTTTAGCTGACATTGAGATGGAGGTTGTTATCCTGGCACCAAGATGTAAGTTTTCCAACCTCCTCTCTGTATGCCATCTCATCGTCGTCTGTGATCAGGCCGATGACGGTCGTGTTGTCAGAAAACTCCACGATGGTGTTGGAGCTGTGTGGCCACGCAGTCGTGAGTGAACAGGGAGTAGAGAAGAGGGCTGAGCACGCAGCCTTGAGGGGCTTCGGTGTTGAGGATCAGGGTGGAGGATGTGATGTTTCCCACCCGCACTGCCTGGGGTCTGCCAGTTCAGGGTCCAGTCACAGAGGGCGCTGTTGAGCCGGAGGTCTCTGAGCTTGATGACCAGCTTGGAGGGAAAAATGGTATTGAATACTGAACTGTAATCAATGAACAGCATTCTCACATATGTGTTCCTCTGGTCCAGGTGTGATAGGGCAGTGTGGAGGGTGAGGGCTATGGCGTTGTCTGTGGACCTGTTTGCTCTCTAGGCAAACTGCAGGGGGTCCAGAGAGTCAGGGAGGGAGGAGGTGATGAAGGTTTTGACTAGCCGCTCAAAGCACTTCATTATGATGGAGGTGAGTGCTACTGGGCGGTAGTCGTTGAGGCTGGTGATTTTTGTCTTGTTGGGGACAGGAACGATGGTGGAGTGTTTAAAACATGTGGGGACTACAGACTGCAGCAGGGACCTGTTGAATATGTCTGTACTTCTAATTGAGTGAAGGATGTGTGCACTTTTGCCATCTCTGCTGTGTGTACTTTTGCCATCTCTGCTAATACAGGATGAGCAGAGACCCTGCTGCTGCAGTCACACTCGAGTTGCACACTAGAATAACCTGGCTGTTGTGTTTTTGGCCCCAGGCCTGCTCCTCCTCTGGGGTCTCCTCCTCGGGGGGCTCCTCCGTGGGGACGGCAGGGGACCTCCTGCACAGGACCACAGCTAAGACCATGAGGGTGCTGACCACCACAGGACTGACCACCAAGGCCGTGCTGAACGCAGTCAGTGACCACCGCTGGTGGAAGGACTCACTCAACCTCCTCGTGCACGTAAGAACACTTTGTTTTTATTGACTTAAGTGGTAAAATGTGGTAAGCTAGGCAATAAAGTCTCTAATGAGTGAACTAACATCATGTGGGTGTTGATGTGGTGTTTTTGTTATGTGTTGTATTGACTTTTGTGTGATCTTGGATGCCTAAACCGTAGCGTGCTTAAAAACAGTATTTCTGAACTGGTGGATTTAAAACTCCAATTGATCTGCTGCAGATGCCAAGTGGTTAGATGAATTACTATTATTTTTTGATTATTTACAAAGATGAATGTGCTCAAGAATTCCCAATAATTTAATAGATAAATTCAAATGTATTATTTCAAGATAATTTGATAATCCTCATGCCAATCATAGTGTGTAATCAGGTAGAGACCGCGTTAGCTAGCTTACGTTGCACAAAATGGATCCCTTTTTTTAATATTTATAAAGTGATGCTGAAAACAGCCCTGTGCCATCTAAAGCTCTTACGCATTAAGGTGAGGAGATGTTTTCCTTTATTTTTTTTTTAAACATGTTGCGTATTGAATTTCAAGTATGTGACAAAGTGTTCCTCAAAAATGTTATCAAGTAGTTTAGTTGCAAAATGTTGAGAACCCCTGCTGTAAAGACATGATCAAGCAGCCTGCAAGAACAGAGCAATGACTGCCCATATATTCGCTTTATGCCTCCATTTTACACAACTTGTTCCCTAGCTGCACAGTGCGTGTGTGTGTGCGACTGTGTGTGTGTCATTTACTGTAGCTGTCTGCCCCTGCCCCATATCTCACAGTCTTCGTCGGCCTCATCCAAAAAACAACCAATCAAGAACTCATATCTTGCATAATTAATTAGCCCGCCTGTTGGATATTTCAATATCTGGTTGTTCGCCGGCGGCTGGATTAGCCCGGTGGTCGCCCTGCCGGAGATTGATGGAGTCTCCGGTCGATTTGTGAGGGCCGTCTCGTAGTCGTAGGTTTCGAAGAAAAAAAGCAGAGGGAAAACGGAGAGGATGTGAGCTGTGGGACAGTGAGAAATGACAGTGCTGTGGGCATGTTGGTAACGTTTAATGATGTTTTGATGGCTCCTCAGGGTCACGGCGCAGGAACCTCCAGTGAGGATGGGGGGTGCGAGAACTCTAACCTGCAGAGACAAGGCTGCAGCCCCTTTTATCAGGAACTCATTGATGATCCCTGTGTAGACCTGGTGAGTGGCTGAAGAGCATCACGGCTCATTATTTTTTTCTTCCTCTCGCGTCCCTGTTGTCCTTATTTCTCCTTTCTCACCTTAGGCTGCCTTCTTATATTACAGCAACAATGCCTGAGATAGTTTCTGACTTCAGGCGTTTCATTAAACTCTTATTCTCCTGCGACTTATACATTTCAAAAACAGTGTTAAGACTAAATGAATATTGATTTCAGACAAAGTAGATTCAATGCCAAAGCAATTTGAAAGTATTTTACAGGAAAACAGGCATTCTTTCTTTCTTTCTTTCTTTTCTTTCTTTTTTCTTATTTCTTTCTTTTTTTTCTCCTCTGTCTTTTTGCTTTAAATATTTCTCCTTTGTTCTCCCCCCCTTTTCTTCTTTCTTCTTTTCCCCCTTTTTTGTCTCTTTCTTTCGTTCTTTTTTCTTTCTTTGTTTTTTCTTCTTTTTTCTCTCTTTCTTTTTACTTTCTTTTTTCGTTCTATTCCCTCCCCGTTTTCTCTTGTCTTTCATTTTTTCCCTCTTTTTTTTCTTCTTTCTATTTCCTTTTTTCCCTTTTTTTCTTTTCTCATTTTTCCCTCCTTTTTTTCTTTCCCCTTTTTTCTTTTCTTTCTTTGTTTCCTTCTTCCTTTCCTTTTTCCACTCCCTGTATATGATGGTACGATAACGGCAACTTCTAACACTAACGGTAGAAGTTCTGTATGTATTAGCCGGAGGGGGAGAGATGAATAACATAAAGATCCAAAGTACTAAAGGATGTCAACAGAAGGAGTTATTGAAGTAGAAAAAGAGAAAAGTAAGAAAGGGAGTCGTTTGACCTTTATGCCTAGAAAATGGTAGCCCTGGGCTGTGACTGGGCTTTTTACCCGGAGAAACAAATCATGTGGATAGCTAAAAGAGTGGACGCGAGGGGAAACAGAGCAGGCCGATACATCTCTCCTCATGACATTTTAATAGCCCTCTCCAAATCCCTTCCTCCGCTCCATCTCCAGCGTTCATCCATCTTCCATCATCCATCTACCAATAACGGCTCCCCACGTCCATCAGCCTATGAGCCGGCTGATCAATGGGATTGTTTTTTACCTTAACAGTTCCAATGACGGAGGTGGGGAGGGACGAGAGCCTGATTGAGAGAGAAAGAGAGACAAATCTAAGCAGACAAAAAGACAGATAGAGCGGAGAAGATAGACGGGAAACCATTTGTGTTGAAGATCTGAGGCTGACGAGAGCGCAAACTTCATTGTTCCCCCATCAGAGAATCGTACAAATTAATTATCTAAATGCTCCGTCTTAAAAAGGCTTTACTTAGCTCATGTGTTGACTCCATCTCTCATCTGTCTGATCCCTGGGAATTAAGACGCTCTTAATCACATCGCTGTGTCACTTTCTGATCTGCTCAACCTCTTGATGGGATTCCCTTCAGTACAACCATGAGTTAGGTATTTACTTATCCATCTCTCTTTTCCTCTCAGAGTCAAGATGTGTATTCGTCCTACAAAGACGTGCCTCAGGAAAACTTTGCAGAGGTTTTGCTGAGGACTGGCAAACTGGCTGAGGCCAAAACTGAGGGGAAAACCCTTTTTCCTGCCACGGAGGGTAAGCATGCATAAGCACATATGACACTGAATTACCACTGGGGATGATATTTAACTTAAGTAAAAGTAGCAATATGAATATGGAAAAATACATGCAACAAGTTGTGCTTCAGAATGTTTCTTAAGTACAAAAGTATTTTCATCAAAAAACTTAAAGAACTAAGAGTAAAAATACTGGTTATGTGTAATAGCCCATTTCAGAATCATACATATTAAAGGGGCCCTATTATGCTTTTTGGGGTGCTCGCTTTACTGTGTGATGTTATATAGGTTTTGGTGGATGTAAATGGTTTGCAAAGGTTAAAATTCCAAAGTTCCCCTCAGAGGGAGTTTGTCTCCCCCCCCCCCGATGCCTGAAACGCCTCCATTGGACTCCTCTGTTTCCTTACGTAACATAGTGACATCACTTTGTAAAACTTTTGCTTAACTTTGCCTGCACTTCAGCACATTGGACGTGATAGGCTTAGGGGCGGGACATTTCACATCTCTGCACAATTTCCCAATCACAAAACAGCCGACTAGCTAACCAATCAGAGCAGACTGGGCTCAGGTTTCAGACAGAGGGTGAAAAGAGGTGCTGCAGCACATGTTACAGGAGAGGCACAAAATACAAATATGAACCTTTTATTTTTGAACCTGTAATTAAATACATATTTGGTATTGGTTTATAATCTGAAACTGTGAAGTAAAAAGCAACTGAATCTGTAATTTATTGGAGTAAAGTACAATATTGGCTTCCAAAGTGTAATGGAGTAGAAGTATAAAATGGCATATAATGGAAATACTAATAACTTCACATTACCTCAACATTTTACTTTAAAAAAAAAAGTAATTGAGTATATGTACTAAGTTACTTTGCACCACTGATGGTTGCACACACAGACACTTGTGTAGATAGGAAAGGAAAAAAATAGTTGCCTTTTTTTTCAAGAGAAATAAAAATACCAGCTGTATTTTTACCACCTGTTCCACGGGTTGATTTCCCACATGGCTGCTCTTAAAAAAAAGCTGTTACAGACTCTAGTGAGATTGTTTTTGGATAATATTGGAGAAGGGTTTTACATGTTGTTTCCACTGAGCCTCTGCGGTGATAGAAATAAAACTGAACTTTGCTGCAGAACAGACCGACCATATTGTGTGCATATTGCAGCCATCTGCGGCAACATATTTATCTTCTTTTTTATTTGTCGCACTTTCTATTCATAGTATATAAGTAATTGCACATTATAAGGCTGTTGTTCTTTATATTAACTGTTTTAAATGTGGCAATTTGACAAAACCAGTCTGGGGTTCTTAGTTCCATGTGAATGCCAATGTTGTGGCCACAAACTGTACGGAAAGACGCGTAAAAAAACAAAACAGGGCTTTAATATTCATCTCAGTACAGGCTTTGTTAATGTCTTTGGAATATTTTGTGACTTCTTGCTACATCGATTTGGCAATATCTCAAACGCCCGCTTGCTGGTGGGCTCTTGCTAAAATGCTTTTTTTCTTGGTTTTAGTTCTCAAACTCCAAAAATAAGACACACAGTGTTTGTTATTTTCGCTTCCCTCCCTTCACCCTTCACCCTGCCCTCTCCTCATCGGTCTAGTATGTGGTGGACTAGGGGACAACATGGGAAGAATAGCCTCACATTGATTAATTAGTGTGTGCCCACGCATCCCGCGGCAACAGTAAATAATGACGCGTCACCTGGGCGATACCGGAGAGATAGCATCAAGTCAAAACGTCAAGGCCACGCTGCGTGATGGATAGCATCTGCCCGCCAAAATCAATGCCACTACAAAAATAAAAAGTGTGTGTGTGTGTGTGTGTGTGTGTGTGTGTGTGTGTGTGTGTGTGTGTGTGTGTGTGTGTGTGTGTGTGTGTGTGTGTGTGTGTGTGTGTGTGTGTGTGTGTGTGAATACTAATATGTTGACCCTCAACAACGCACTCTGATTGTTTGACCAGTTCTAATGCGTACTGTAGATGTACATACACAATCACTACTCTCTATGCTGTTGTCTTTCAACCTAACAACTCTCTTCTTGAAAAAGTGACCTTCCCTTCGGAGCTGCCGCTGAGCGCAACGTGTTTGGAAAGAGAAAAAGGCGGAGTAGACGTCTGATAACAACCTTTCGATTAATGACTCGCGTATCAGCCCGCCGCGCCGACTATTCTTTAAAAAACAGACTAGGAGATGGCCTCAATAAATGTATTGATTTCTCACCTGGCCCAGATAAGGCGGAGGTAATTAATGATGACACAAGTGGAAAGTGACTCAATAGGATGGAGCTGAGTAAGGAGCCAAGGGATACACACACACACACACACACACACACACACACACACACACACACACACACACACACACACACACACACACACACACACACTCACACACTGACAAATAAACACACACTAACACAGCATGGAAGGCTGCCATTGGCCGCATGTTGACCAGGCCGTAATCAGCTGTTTTTCACACTGCCTGCACAGGTGATATAGTAATAAGTCAATGTCTGGCCGTCCCGCTAACAATGTGCCCGATTTAGCTGACACAGGAGCAGAAGTATGTCTATGTTTGGACACACACCCACACTCTAACACGGTGTCTTATCACTCTCTCCGTTCTCCTCTCTCCCTCACAAACAGAAATACTGTATGCTTTTAAGTCAGGGTTATCTATTCTGTGTGCGCGCGTGTGTGTTTACCCCTCTGGTGATTCCTGTCCCGATGGTATCAGTAGCTTTAGAGAGGCGTGTAATCAGCTCATTCTGAGGTGTAGCTCATTGAAACCCACGGGGGGGAAGGAGAGAGAGAGAAGAGCGGGTAAAAGGAGGAGGGTGGGCACTCTGCTTTAAGAGAGCTGTTATGCCTTTATAATCTGGCGCATTATTCCGCCTCTGCTCACAAGTACACACACCAAACCTCCAGATATACGTGTCAGGTATTGACCCTCACATATAAGTATTGGTGTGCATTTTGTCCTACACTTTATGTCTCTCCCACTGTCCCCTCCCCGCCTCTCTCTGTGTCCATGCTCTACTTTCCTCCACTCGGTCTGTTCCATTTTGTCTCAGGCTCTTATCACCAACTCAGGCTTTTGTTCTCCTTGGGTCTGAGACTACAAAGTGATTCTCTCTGCACCTCTCTGCTCTCTCCCACTGTTTCCTCACAGTGAGTTAGCGAGTGATTAGAAGGAGTCTCTGTGTTTACAGTGTTTGGTGTTCATCTACTTTTAATCGTGATGGTGTGTGTGAGTGTCTGTATGTGGGTGTGCATCCTTGTGTTAGCCTTATGTGGTTTGGAAGCAAACGAAAGACAAGAGTCCATCCCGCTGCCCAAAGCTCCGTCTCGACTACAAATCCCATCAGCCTTAAGGACACCAAAAACACAGGCTGTGATCATAAACCATAACAAATAATAACTTTTAGTACTTTCTTAGAGTGTATTGGACAAAAAAAACAAATAATCTTCAAAGCCATGTGTACACAAATCAGTAAGTATGAAGACTGAAACAATTATGGATGGTCCTAGCTTGTTATGATTCGGTTGATCCATATTGATTACCCAGAATGCAATGGAAAAAGTTAATGGAAGAGCAATTTACAGCTGCAGATCATTAAACATATTTCCATATGGGGCTGATGCAGATTGTGGTAATGTTTGGATAATTGTTTAAAGCTTTTTGTTCTCTTTGTGAGGTCAAATGCTTGGCTGAGCATATTATCATTTCCATTAGCAACACAAAGTAGTATTCGCTTCTACCGGCACATATTTTGTAATATATTCTGTTTCTACAAAACAGTAACATACATTAAGGTAAACGAGGAAAGTAGGACCTTTTAATCATGATTCTCTTCACAGTCGACATCACTTGCTCGGCCAGACAATTCAGTGGTTCAAACAAACAACTGGAAACAAGTTAAGCGAAGAAATGTTGGGATTTATTTATATTTCAAATTGATAGTTTTATATTGATAGTATGGCAGGATTACTGCAAGTAGATACACATATAGCACTCTGCTCACTTAAAACAAAACAAGCTGCAGTTCTTTTGATAACCAATTTCCAACCCGGCCCTTCCGGGCTTTAATTATTTACAATTTGAAATAAGAAGCTTTTACTTTTTTTAGATATTACAAGAAACATTGTTTAAAAAAAAAATAATAATCAAGAGCAAGTTGTTAGATGTAATAAAACACACTGTAAATCACTTCATACTTATTTGATCTATCAATTCAGCTGAAGTCTGACCTTAGGTTCAATATCCCTTCCATAACATATATTATTTCAAATATTACACTTCTTTGTGATAACATTTTTGCTATAAGTAATCGTATCAGTTGTTCCTTATCAATATTCCACCCTTCAAATGAGATTCAGTCACTTATGTACATGTCCACATCTGAATGGACTGTCCACTCCTAATACCTGACTAAATGTTAATAGACTTCCTGCCAACGAGGCATGCATTTTTTTATCCTTATGATCAAACTCCTCTGCCTGTCTTTGCAGTCAATATGCATAGGCTAATCTGGGATTCAGGGGGAATCAACTTTAAAGTGCACTTAAATGAAGTTTGGACTCATCTGAAGGGCACTTATTAGAAGTCGGTGTGTACTTGCTCTGAATAATAAATACTCCCTGTGCAATAAACCATACAGGAGGACACGACATCTGTACACAGCGTATGCAAACAAACGCTAACACACAATGGCCCAGTGACAATATGGGCATGTACCAGAACTCAGGGGGGATTTTGAATGTCGTTTCTTGACTTAGTCTTCATATTTTTTCTTTCCTATCTCCCTCTATTTTTATCTTCCCTCTCTTTTGTCCGGCCCACAGAGAGGTGTGTTCTGACAGCACTGTCGTCTGTATTCAACAAACGTGGGATGAAACTCGGGAAGGGTAGGGTTGGTTGCTAATCCTCAGTGCTTTAGTTAAAGTATTTTCTCTCCATCCTTTTTTTCAGTTTTGCTGCAGCTGGCCAATGATGCATTTCCCCGGGACATGATGCTGGCTCTGTCCTACTTACTGGCCTTGCCTCAGGTAGGTGGAAACACAAAGCTTTTTTTTTTTGGACGCCAAAACAAACGGACTCTGGTAGTGAAAATGTGATTGTATTTTAGTGAGATTCTGGCAAATGATTAAATGGATCCACATCCTTTCCTACCTTTCTAAATGAGCTATTGTGTTCGACAGTTTGCATCATCAGTGTGCCATATCAAAGTTGCACATTAAAGGCAACAGAGTAATGTTGCTAAATTACATATAATACATTAAAAGCCTGACATGGTAACAACACAGGATGTTTGTTATAGAACACACGTCGTATCTCACATAGTTCCACGTCTCCCTCAAGTCAATAAACATTCACACTTTATATTAACATTCCCACATTGCAATATGTTGCCTCCGTCTACATTGTCTCAGCTGTCAGAGGAGCGTGCTTTGTATTTTCAATAGATAAGAAAATGAAATGCAAGACAGAGAATTGACTGCAGTAGATTGTGTTCAAGTGTGAGGTTGTGGGATCCCTTATGAGTCTTAACACTTGCCGCAAGTGAAATACTAAACCGTCTAAGTGGATATTACATCGATATTTAGAGCTTGTTAACTCCACCTGGAATAGACGTTACTGACAAACTGAGTGCAATTTCTGCACTGTTTGACCCAATAAACACAGGGTCTACTACATATCGGGCTTGTTGTTTTGATTTTTGAAAAGTAGTTTCAGGTTTCTTTTGAAGTTGGTTTGTGTGAGGTGCTTTCTCAAGGTCATTTTATTACAATACCTAGACAAGATGGTTGTCGGCATGCTCACAGCTTGGAGAAGCATACATAAGTACGGAGGCTAAGTAATGTTCTGCTGTGGTAAGGGCCAGCCACAAAACGTGGTTTTGCAATCTAGAAAATCAATATAAGTTCAAGTATACTTCATAAAAAGAAAATGCTCATCACTCATCATTGCCACAAGCACTAACCTCTTAAGTAATAACACAAACATTTAACCAATCGAGGCAGTGGTAGATCAGCAACTCCCATATTCTGCAACTTCAAACTTCTGCTTTTCTTAATGCAGTCTGGTGGTCTCGAAGACAACATATATAACAGCTTCAGTTCTCCGTTGAAAAATGCTCTCTGACACTAAAGTAAAGGGTGAACATTTTCTCAATATAACATATAGTTAAACTGATATTCATTAGTTTAGGTTGATCTTTTTAGGAAGCTGACTATGGATAAGTAGCTCACACAACCCCCCCTTTAAACAATCTACCCTTAAACTCCTTATTTTGGAAATAATCAACTGAACTGTGACAGATTTATCTAATTCCAGTTGATTACATACTGGAATCAAGGATTTTATTTCCATGTTCCCCTTTTTTTTCCTTCTCACAACCAGCATACTTTCTTATTCCTATCTTTCCATGCATCTATCCAGGTGCTGGATGCCAACAGGTGTTTTGAGAAACAGTGTCACTCCGCCTTATCACTCCAACTGGCTGCCTACTACTACTCCCTGCAGATCTACTCCCGCCTCATACCGTGCTTCAAGAACAAGAACCACGCTCTCTATCAGGTAAGCATCAAATACCCATTATGTGAGTGGGTGGTTGTGTGAATGGAGGTATTGGGCAGTATGCTGAGGTGGGGGGTGTCTGAGTTTCCATGCTCCTCCACCCTTTTTTGTAATTGCCACAATGAAAATGACATGGAGGACGTGAACGTTCTGCATCGTCAAAGATCAAATGCGACTTCCCGGAATCACAGATAAATTAAACCTGACCGAAACAACACAAATAGAAGACATAATTACACACTGACATCAAACAGCAGGCATTTGTCACATAAATAAAAACAAATCCCAGAGTTAGCAGCAGTGGGTTCAACGGAGGATGCAAAAGATTGATCTGTTCTGAGCAGACGGTTGTTGGCGAAGTGTTTTGAAACCAGAGAGGCTCTGTGCAGGTTTTTGCTCTTCTCTTTTAGAGCTTTTCACAGTGTGTTACAGGGTTAGACACAACGACATGCTGACTGCAGTGGGGTGTATCTCTATTAGATGAATGCTTTAACGTGGAAACAAAACTATTTTCAGCTTTTTAAGGTGATTATTGAACAAGGGATCGCGACCAGCTTTATGGAAGTATAAAGGGGAGAGTTGTCGGCGTAACACTTAACCCGAGCCCTTACTTACCAACTTTAAATCTGAGATAAAGCACACTATTCTAGATAAGATGTCTAATACATTTTACGTAGTCCCTATACATCTATTCTCTATTTTAGGTAGCATAAGGTTACTAAATGAATCTGTGTCTACATTTCTTTATATTAGCATATGCTCACATACATACAGTATAATTCATCATTTTTTTCTCAGCCTGGTATTGAAGCTAAATGCAGTGAAATGCTCAAACCCAAGACTTCCACTAGAATACAGTTATTTTAATTTAGATAATTTTTCTCAAACTTTTAATGACTGTCACACTTGTAGAACTCTCTAAATGAAAATGTATCAGAACTCTGAGTCCTTACAGGCACATGTTGCCAAAACACCACCATTGGGCTTCATCGAAGGGATAGCCTTGCCTGTGGCAAAGCATGAATACAGCAGGCTTTACTGTGGTGTAAGCGGCAAAATAAATGAACACAATGAGACATAATGATGGAACAAACTGGGATAATAGTGCCCAGGTTGAAAATAACTATAATTATCCTGTTACTCATCAGCATAGTTAACGACTAATCCAAAACCAGCCCTGTTATGTACGCTTGTGTTAATATGTGTGTTAAATTGATTGTATTCCCCCTGATGTCTTAATTATAGAAGGAAGACATTTTTGCATAATGGACGACGTTGGTTCTCAGACACTGATGGAAATCACAAATGAAAAGTATTTAGCGGGCATCGTGGCACACTTATGTCACTTGTTATTTTCCGAAACGACGCAAGGCGAAAGCCATGTTTTCTTTTCTTCCTACAAAGTGAGAATAACGAAGAAAACAAGACGAGAAAAATTGTGTCCAAGTGGGCAGGGGAGGAAGAGGAGAGTGGGGGGGAGGGGATAAGGTAGAGAATAAGAGAAGAAATGGTTCTGACCTTTTTCCTTGAGTGGAGTGTGGCTCTCATGAGTTTTAGCCGAGGTGGAAGTAGGTGAGGTAAAACGCTGAAATATAAAAGAGCGGAAGAGGGAGAAAGGCCACCAGAAGAAGTGGATAAGTGTGTCTCGATTGGCATTCAAGGTCAGGACTTTGCACACAAACACACACACTTACACACCAACAAGTCATAGTCAACACTACATGCTCTTCCTCACACACTGAAACACACACACATCCTTCCTGCCACCTAATGGCAGTAAACACTCTTCCGCCTTCTGTCTAAAGTGAAGTTCTAGTCCATTAACTTAAAAATAAACTGGATATAGCCTTTTCTTCTCTGCCGTACACATTTCATTTTGAGCTAATTTCTTGTTTTTTTCCGAGTTATGTGCTTGTTATCGGTGTGTTCCAGGTCTTTCCTTCACTCAGCTCTTATTGAAGAAGTACTGGCAACTTTTACTCTAACGCTGATAGAAGTCAGAGGGATGAAAACCTTTCAACCCATCTCACCTTGTGTCCTTCACCACTCTTTCATCATCTTTTTCTGGATGTTCCTCTCCTCCTTCCCTTCTTTTTCTCTGAGTTTAATGAAGTGCTTTGTTGGCATGGCAGTTCTGTTTGTGTGCGTCTCCGTGCTGCTTCTTTTTTTCTGTCCACAATATGTTGCTCTTTCTGCTATCTTTCCTCCCTCGACACTGTTCAGACTCCCCCCCCCCCCCCCCGCCCCATAGGCTTGTCTCGCTCCTGTCAAATCTCGGGCGTCTCCATCCACAATACTATCTTGAACGTGCATACTTTATACATTTCTCTCGTCCTTTCTTTAGCTTTTTCGCTCTCTCTTATCTTTTAAGGGCACACATTGTACAGCGTGTGATATTTAATTTCAGATATGTATGACAGCGTGCCTGTATCAAAATCTCTTGCACGTATCTGCTTTGCATCGCAAATGAGGTTGTTGGGTGGGGTGGGGGGGGGGAGGTTGAAAAACATGTTTTTATAGTTTTCCAATATGTATGTGCATGTAGCATTGAGTGCATTGTGTTTTTGTGTGTGACTGCAGGCTTACATGTCTCCATGTGATGTAGCATTGGATCTGTTTTCCTGTGACAGCGGGTGGTGGGTGGGTGTGTGTGTGTGTTTGTGTGTTGTGGTGTGTCAAGCTGTCTCCAAGTGTTTCCCCCACTCTCCACTTGAAGAGCAGTAACACTGTCTCAATAACTCTCACGCTTTTTTCAATTCTCTTTTCACGATCACATAATTTCATACCCGAGCAATAAGACACCAAACACTCGAGACACAGAAGTCGTTTGGTTCCAAATAGGAGCACAACTCTCTGAGGGTTTCCTCGAGGTGTGTGATGTGTTTTTAAAGCCTCAATCAACAGCCTGTTTTCTCACCGTTATTTAGATTCAAAGGTTTTTGGAGCTAACGCTGCCTGCAAAGAAAAACCTTGAAGCTTAAGGTGGAGGAATGAATGAAATAAATTAAGTTAACTTCACTTCCAGACCATGTTTCATAGTCGTAAGACTTTAACAATAAAAACAGCTTTGCATAAATTGCGTTACATACGATAAAAACAGTATCATCACCCATTTAAAAAATGAATGCTGCTCTGACTCAATCATACAGTAACAAAAACCTTTGAGGAAGGATTTATCACTGCATTGATCATACTGTATCCACATCCTCATTGTTACACAGCAGGTTACGCAGCATACAGTAGCATACACACCTTGAACAGCCACATATTCACATTGGTTAAACAAACCGGATTGTTTTTTAACCAATTGAATTAACAAAGGAAGAAATCTATTATTTGGGTACCTTTTTGAATAGTGTGGTGTGTCACTATTCACTAGTTCACTATTAAAGCTAGTACAGTATAAGCAATGCATTAAAGCATTTTTGTCAAATTAGCTGAAGTTCTCTTAGCATCCCTACAGCAATGAATAAATCAGATGCATTGACAAATAAAGAAAAGGGGGCATTTTGTTCAAGTCTTTTGTAAAGCAAAACACCTTGCTAATGATGGTTCCAATGTAAAGGTTGGGAAGTTAATCTCCCAACACAAGTTTCTTCATGAGCAAAGACAATGGACTTTAAACCACACATTGATAGCTGTTTCTGTGAAATTTCCAGTTGATTATTTTATTTGGGTTTTTTTATTCATATTTTATATTATAGAGAATTAAAAGAGGGCAATATACAGTATGAGGAAGTATGCCATGTTACCGTCTAGTCTACTGTAACTATTTAATAGAAATGGGCAGCCATTCCCAACAGAAAGAAACCTAGAACTTCCTTGAGGGAAAATTCCTCTTTTGTTCTTTGGTTTCTTTGTAGTTCTTTGGCCTTCATTAGTTTTAAAGTATGTGAATGTGGTATATTCAGTAGATGAGACAAGTAAGACAAACATAAATGGTTTTTACTGGCCCCCAACTAAGCCAAACATACTTGCAAGAGAATACAAAATGAGTTAGCATTTTCAGCATGCTTGATGGAATTATACACATGAATATCCTGTGCAATGAGGGATTATTTCTGACATTCCTATTTGGTTTGACCTCCAAATTAAGTGGTTTATACAATCTGGGAAAACAGACTTGCTTTATCTTGTGACTTTTCATGTTTTCTTTGCTTTGCTGGACTTTTTTCTGCAATGTTACCATGTTCCCAGACCTCAGTAATCCATTGGTGAGTAAAAGGTTGTCAAAACCATTGGCTAAATCCATGAAAATTAACCAGTTATAACAAATGGAAAAATATCCTTTAAATTCAAACTCTGTCATCCTTCTCTTCCACCTACTGTGCTACTTCTCCTTAATCCCTCAAATGCTGTTTAACTATATTCCGCCATAAATATCCAGGACATTTTCTAAAATTGGAGGTGATCTTGAGGCCGATTCAGTCACATTAGCATATTTATTCAGACGGAGAAAATAAGACAGTGGTCTCTGAGTCACTCAAAAACCTCACAGCAATTTTATATGAATACTCAAGGTGATGCAGCGATGCTTGGTGCCCGTGTGTATTATTACATTTTTGAGCTATTTTTGATTTAGCGGTGATCTTATGTATTGCCCTTTTAGTCTTGTTAGGTTGTATTGTGAGTTACAGAGAAGTACAACTGTTTGCCTGTTGAAAATTCCCATCATTGATCGTCTTTAACAGTTACTCTCCCATCCGATTACTGCTCCTGGGCATGACAGAGCAGCATCAGGCCCAATGACACGGATGCTAGGTTTCCATTATTCCTCAGGGCATAATGAGCTGATTTCCACTTGCTCGCACTGGAAGTTTTCATTATACTGACTAAAGTGCTCGTTTGCGAAATCGAGGTGCTCTTTACCGTAATTGTTCTGCTGCTAGTGTTAACACGAAATTGCACAACAGCCTGTGTAAGTGTTAAGGTCTGTTTACCTTTACTTGTCAATGTTTCAGTGTGAGTGTGAAAGTGTGTTTGTAGGAATCCTCACACGTAGCATAATGGTAGCTGCGAATGTGCCGCCGCTGTACGGCAAAGTGCTGAGTAAAGACATTGAGATTTTTCACTCAACCATTTATCTTCGCCTGCAGTCGCCATCCTCTCATTGAGTATTGATCACCCACACTCATGGTGCATACGCAGAAGTGTACATTTAAAGCATACACAATACACTATGGACACACAGAGCATGACTGTGGAGTACATCATGCAGAGAAAGTGCTTTGAACATCCCATTACGACATTTCCATTTTATAATAACTAGATTCTAGTTTTACTTTCAGGTCATATACTTCGATGCAGTCGGTGAATTGGAAATGAAATTTCTAGATATAAAAATGGGTTTTTGGATTCTACCTGAGGGAAGTCAAACGATGTAGACAAAGTGTTGAGATTTTAAGACGGCAAAAATAAAGTTTTCTAAAGCACTCGCCAAACATAAATTGTGTTAGGAGCAAAGATAAGAGAGTTTCCTAATAGCATCCAGATCTACATGAGAAAACAGCACTTAGCTTACATCCAGTGACATTTTGCTTTGCCCGCGGCCATCCTGGAGGTTTTTCTTTCTTAATTCATGGCGACACCGGGCCTGCTGTGTGCGAGAGCTGACCTTGGCATTGCCACATTACCACTGCACCAACTCCCTGTTGTTGAATTGATTGAAATAATGAATTAGACTGAAAGACTTCCCAATCGCAAAAAAGCTCCCCAACGCTATTATTTGTGCTACTTCTCTTGTAACACAATTATTAGCAGTCTGTATTTTACCCATGGGAGCTCTGTAAAGCATAATAGCTCAAAGAAAAGGCCCGATTAGAAAAATATGCACTCTTAAAGCACTGTTGCTGTTGACTCAGAAGTTTTATACCCACTTAGTCTCTAAACCTTAGATTAGATGCACTGCGTTGACTGTGCTTAGATATCCCTGCTCCTCTTGCTCGTTTCTTGGCAGTCTTGTATCCCTCTTGTGATCAGTGTCCTTCATGCTGTATTATGACCCACAGTGCAGCCTTCCAGCCTTTTTATGGAGTGATTATTCATTTAAAATCATTGCCCGGTTTCTCTCCGCCGTGCATTCCTCCTAATTATGTACACATACTGTAAACACCATTTGCAGAATCAGTGCTAATGAGTCCACTGACTGTATAGCTAAGTGTTAGGCATGACATAAACACTACTCATTAGGGTCATTACTAGCGTACAGGCTGGAGACGGAAGGCATGTCTGTGTCTCTATGACCTGTATTTGATCATTACCACACTCAGCGATACAGAGAGAGACAATGTGTTAAAAACTAAGCTGTACTGTATGTGTGTGTGGCATTAATGATGTGATGATGAAATGCACAAAAGAATCACACTGAGAATGTAACAGACTTGTAACGTCCAACTGTTTATGGTTGGTTTGCCAAAATGAAAACAAATGGACTGTTTCTGATCCGCCTCCCTTGCAATGAATTTCTACTCTAGAATAAGACTTATAACATCGTCGGACAGTCAGACTGATGAGAAGGGAGGGAGACATTTTATTTGTGTCACAATAGCAGCTAATCTGTAGGGATGGTCCTATTGTTCACCCCGTCTGTTCATCCCACTGTTGTCCAGACAGTGAAACTACTGGACATCTGTTGTCATTTTATACAGACATTCACGGTCCCCAGAGGAGGAATCCTAATGACTTGGTGTTCACTTTTCTACCAGCAATCATGAGGTTGACAATATACTGTATACGAGGGAAATATCACAAAAAGTACTGGGAGGATTTGTGTTAGGGTTAGGGTTGACATTTGGTACAAATATTCATATTCCTCAGAGGATTAGCATTGGCAATCCCAGGACTTGTATTGATTTAGCAAAACCAGCAGGTCCAATGTATCTCCTATTAAGCTATACTGTATATCTTAACATCTACTTCTTGGATTCGTTCAATTTGGTGAAGACACTCATGGCTCCTGATTTTCTTTTACCACCAACAACAGTCGGTTCAACCCCTCAGCATGACCTGTAATAACTTTGCTGATTAGTTCCTCTTCTATTACCAACGTAAGGTCTTCTTTTCCCAATAATGAGGTTTTTGACAAACTCACTTTAAAAATATAAATAATAATTTCCATAACCCTCTGCTGCTCTCTTGTTTTGTGCTACTGTAACTAGCAATGTAACCACGCTAACGGGCTAAACTAAGATGGTAAACATGGTACACATTAGGGCTGCACGATATATCGTGTCGTGACGATATTCGTGATATGCGCGATATTCACATCGCGTGGACGTGCGATTTAAAAAAATGTTTTAGGACTTGTGATATTAAGTAGGCAAATTAACTCAAACACGTCATGTTACAATTATTTTGCTGCTTGCTACAAAAGGAAAACTTGAGCGACTCTCATGTCAGGGGGGGGCTA